TCAGACTTTGAAAAAATCGTTTGTGATTCTATAACAGAAGATTTATCATTTGTAAGGTCATCTGATGTGGTTCCTTAAATAAATACTAGTTGATTTTGCAACTGATGGTCAGAATTTAACTTTTTTATTGCTTGTGAAAAAAGTAGCACAGCTTCACAAAAACTTTCTTTACAAATTTATTATTCTTCTTGAGTTTTTATAAAATAATTCTTAATCTCTGTGGTACTTTAAAACTAACTTGATCCTGTAAGAGTTTTAACACTCTCTGTAAGACCTTCCTGTTCTTTCTAAATGGTCTTATTATCCAGATAATACCAATGCATCACACTTCTGTGTTCCAGCTAATTTTTTTTCTTTTTTAATTGGAATTTTTCTTTTGATATTAATAGTAATTGTTCATGGGCATTCTTCAGGAATGAAAATAAGGTGTGTGCATGATGTGAGTTGTTAAGATTTTTATTGTGTAATGTTTTGGGGGGAGGGCCAAAGAATGGCCTTTACTAGAAAGATCAGGATTTTTTTTTGTCAACCATTTTGTACTTTTTTTTTTTTAAGTGGGCCTGAGGCCATAGAATACCTTCTGGTATCTCTTTAGAATAAGATTGGGCATATTTTTACCTGTTCCTAAAGAGAGGCCAAGAGCTTCTTAGCTTTCATTTTCACTGCTAACAGTAGTATGTGCTAGCTATTTTGAAACTGCAGTATTTGACTTCATAACCATTGGGAAGGATGTTTTTTTCAGAGATAATTGATCTTTATCCAGTTAGCCATTTTGGGGGGTGTTTCTTTAAAGAAAGACACTTAGGTGTAACTCTCTGGGTATCCATTAGCATTCATCTCCCCATGGCTCTCTGATTGCTAGGATCTTTTCGCACTTCCAGGGTCTTTCCTTCAGTCAGGATCTGCACCTTCTTCCTTCCAGGCCCCTTTTTCTTTGACACCAGTTCTTCTTTTCAGGAACTCTCCTAAGTCACCTGTTTTCCCAATCCAAATAGTCAATGTGCAGCAGCGAAGTGAGTGATCAGCCTCCTAATTAATGCTTCTGTCTCATGTCTCTTCATTAATGGGAGGGTTTAGGATGTGCCACATTTGTTCGGTCCAGGTTTATCAGAATTTGCAACCAGTCCCTACGGTTGCAGCTAGCAAATAGTTACCACTTAATTGATTTTACATTTTTGCCTACAACACACATAAGCCTGAATCTTTATCACTGCATTGACTGAGAATCTCTGTCTTAAATACGCATTAAAGTTATTTTTTGCAAGAAGTACCAATATAATTGAAATTTAATACCTTTATATATTAAGGGAAAAGGAGGTATTCTGAGCATGACTTCTGATTTCCATTGTTTTTGTACTAAAATTGAGTGTTTGTGTTTAGAAACTTAATTATGTTAGAGTGGTTATCTGGCAGATTTTACATTACATCTGATATAATTAGGAAAAACAACTACATTACATTTTCTGACTGATTTATTCACAAGTATTTGCGATAAGTAAATTGATATTAGAAGGATTAACTGGAAAACAAAAAAAATATTTATAATTGTATTTAATTAGAGAAAACTAGGAAAATATTCCAAATCATAGCTGACAGTGAAAGACGGTGAGGCATTCATATGAAAAACAATTTTTGCTTAAAATATAGTACAGTACTTTTGTCATATATTGAATTAATTTTTAAAAGGGTGATTAATTATTAATATTCTAGTTTCTTTCCCATTGGCTTTTTTTGGTACATTCTTTTTCCACTGCAGCAGTGTTTAATGGAGCAGTTAAAGAAATAATCTCCAGGCACCCTGCTTGAAAGTACTTTATGGGACTAATGTTACAGCTGTACTGCTTACTAAGTTAAACCAAGCAACATCTTTATTCTCACATCAGTGGAAAGTAAAAAAAGAAGTCTTTGAACTGTGACTGCTACTGAGAGATTTGCTAAAGCAGCAGGTCATAAGTTTGATCTTTTTTGGTATTTTTTGGATAGCACACTGAGTCATATTCTGAGGCTCTATATTTGGTGCTCATGCCATGAAGAAGTATCTTTGTCTACAGAGTGCTTTTTTTTTTTTTTTTCCTGAATGACCACTTTCTTATTATCCTGAGGATAAATGTCGTACCACAAGAATGCTTGTATGGAATTGTCTTCTAAATAATTCCTGTTGACCTGTGCTTCAAACGCAGTTTTGGATTGCTAATGGAAGACTTGATTCTTCTATAAGATTCTTTTACTTCTGAAGTCAGCAAAAGATAAACCTGAAATTATAACACTTCCTCATAAAATTCTTTCTGGAGAAGAATACATCTTTTTTCAATTCTTTCTGAAAGGATACTTCTTGGGAAGAAATTACAACTTTCAGTCACATTAATTACTGATTTTAAAGAGATGCTTTCCAAATAGTGATTTGAATGCACATCAGAATCTCACTTTTGGGTACTTGTGAACAATCTTTGAAAATTCTTTAAGCACTTCAGTTTTCTATGACATGTAAAGTCACAGTCTGCTAAAAATTTTATTGTGTATTAGCTAACTTATTTTAGGCAAGCATATGCTTAAAAATTAGTCTTTCCTGGAATTCATTTTTATTTGAGATTTTAATTTAATATATTTACTTTGTGTTAATGTGATTTCACCTGAACATACTTACTATTTAATGATTTGACCTTTGGTTAGTTAATTTCTTATATTTGGCTCTTGGTTAGCTTTTTTCTTAAATTTAGTCTGAAGCATAATATATTTAACAGTACCTACAAAACAATTGTACAAGCTTGCAACTTCCCTGTTTCGTATAAATGGGGAGTTGCATAACCAAACTTATATCTGTAACTGATAATAGGTATTTGCTTATTTGATTTCATCATGCTTCTTTGGCACATTAAAAATCTACTCCAGTTGAAGTTATTGAGCTGATACTGATTATTTATGATCTGACATTAATAACTATCTCTAGCTAATTCTTCCCTGTCACTACTGGCAGTTTTGCAAGTAGACTTGATATCAAACAAAGTAGGCCAGTGGATAAAGGCAACTTTATATGAATGAATTCCTATAAGATAAGTGCTAGTAAAAGGAAACCATTCTGAAGATTCATAGTATTTTCACGCGCATGGAGTGGTTACCACTGTCTGAGCCGAAGATCAAATGTATCAAATGTACCCCAAGATACTCTCTCAGTTTTAAAACCATTAGTAACGCTGATCTGAGCTAGTATGTATAGCATAGCATCGTGTTATTCATGAGAGCAAAAGATTCAGCATTCTTGATTATTGGCTTAGATCATTGTATTCCAAATGTATAGAGTATGTAACTTGCTTTCTCTTTAACTTTCGTTTAGTCTGTGATTCTTCTCTCTGTAAAAGTACAGTTCTTTAGTACACACTATTTGTGACCCTGCTTTCATGGGTTTGTTCTCCTTGTAGAATAAGGCTCTTAATAAGGTCCGACTTGCAATAAACGTCTGAAGTGTATAATTTGACAAAAGATTTTATGCTAGTGCTATATTAAATTATTTCTATGTCTAGTACTGGTATGTCCAAATTCTTCTTTTGCTAATGAAGACAGTGAAATGTCCTCAATATATTATATTATATTATTATGATTATTATTATACTATATCATTATATTACTATCATAGCCGTTTGGTGTTACAAGCTTTTTATCTTTTAATGTTAGCATTTTTGAAATGAAAGCACACTTTTTAAAAATGTCTTTGTACTATAACATGAAGTTGTTTATTATATGTGAGATTTTGGGTTATCTCTAATTCTGTAGCATGTCAATGTGTATTTTTCAGCTGAGGGCGCTTGCGATTTGGTGAACACTGCACTACTTGGAAGTGTAGTGAAATAAAAACAGTATAATTTACCCTGTATGAGAAAGCATGAGCCCAGTCTATCTGAAAATCTTGCCAATGGCTAAACTCCAAAGTGCTGCTGAAGTTAGGGAGCTTGGACTTGAGATGGTTAAAAAAAAAAAAAAAAGCAAAGAAAATAAAACAATAGGTTTTTTTGCTATTGAAACCAGATGAAACTGCAGATAACCCAACAGAGAAGGTAGGACTCAGTACTTCACTAACTGTGTCCAGATAGCTCTACTGAAAAAAAGATAAGCTTCTATGCGTTGGTGCTTCACAAACTGCGTATTATCTGGAGAACAAAGTACCAGTAATTGAGTATAGACAGTGATTAAAAACATTTAATTATTGGGATCAGTCAGTAATGTTTTTTAGAGAGTAGCTCAGGCTGAGTTTTCAAATGACTTTATTCTTCCTATGTGTTTTTACGGTGCTTGAAAACCAAAGTCTGTTGTCTAAATGCTGTGGTAAATATTTAAGATTTGGAATGCATCAAATAAATACTAATTAATAAACTATATTACCATTTTAATCATCACTTTCATTTTAAATAAAAATAATAGAAGTTGTCTAGCCTCATGAGGGTTAGGCCGTTAAATCTCAGTGGCAGAAGTACTGATCTGTGCTGTAGGAACTGAGCTGTTTGTTTTCATTTGTATTGCATTTGATGAATGAGTGCCAAATAATTTAATATGGCCTTATAGAAAATGAATAACCTTTTCCTTCTTACATGCTTAAATGTTATAACTTCAAAGGATCTGTGCATATTTTCATGAGTTCCAGGAACTGTACAAACCTTACATGTATTTGAATAAAATAATTTATGTGTTTCTGTATCTAAATCTGCCGGTATCTGTGAGGTTAAGTTTAGCTTGCTTACTTTCCCTCCTGTTGTGATGAATGCTTTGACATATATTAGAGTGCAGAAGTAGTAGCTACAGTGTTCAGGGTGAGGGTTCTTTTTGTGCTTTCAGCGATGACTGTGAAGGAGAATTATGTCTGTTAAATTCTAACTGTGGATGGATAGTTCCTTTTCCTGTTTGTTGTTCTGCTCAGTTGTTTCTGAAAGGTGTCTTACCCATCCAAAATAAAACAAGACATCTCAGGAGAGAAAGAATCAAATTCATTCTATTCTATTTTTTTGCACCAGGTGAAGTACCACCAATGAGATGGGTAGTAAATTTTGACCGAGATCTTCTAGATGGTTTAGTATTGGCAGCACAGCTGGCAGCTTATTGTCCATATTTGGTAAGGGCTTTTCTTAATATTCTATGTTTTATACATAGGGAAATATTAATATAAGTGGTTTTATTCAGGCTTTTTTTTTTTTTTTGAATTGTTGGCTTATATGGATTTAAAAAGAAACATTTGATAAGTCTGGAGTGATTATTTCAGTGATTAATTTTTATTTTCTTTGGGTATATTCTTAATAATGAATTTTAGTTCAAATTTTATTTTATGGTTTGCTGAAAGAGGGTAAATACAAACATAATAATTTTACTCTGTGTAATATAAAGAGTTTGATTTCTGTCTCTTCCCTAGATTGCTACTCACTTTGTAAGGATGTATACTACTCCAAGAACTCCTGAACAGTATCTGCACAATTGTTTGATACTTGTGGATGCTATGCGTGCTGTTGGTCTGGCTATAGACATAAAGGTAAATGATTTTATACCATCAGTGCTTACATACTTTGAATATCTTTTTTACTTTTAGGATAATAATATTTTACATATAATTAACATGAGATTTCAGTGAAATGGATTTTTTTCATGATGTAGTTACATATAATGACAACCAAAATGCTGCCTCATATAAAGCTACTTAATTTCAAGTAATTTTTGTAATTCCTTGATTTGTAGAATTCAGTAACTAGTTGAACATAAGATTAATTCCATTCAGATTCTAGCATCATAAACAACAAAATGTATGGAATTTGTTATTAACTTTCTAAGACAATTTAGAAAAATTATATTTAGGAGCAGGTATTGTGCACTTAAGGTTAAAAAAGTGTGTTAAAAAATTGTAAAAATGCATGGTGGCCTTAAGTGATTGTAAATCATGTAGGCTCATTAGGGTTCTATCCCTGATTTGATGCACACAGACTTCGGACTGCTGGAGAAGGTAACGCTGTAAGTTGTCAGCCTCTGGGGTCCTTTGTTGGGAAGAATGTGATGTTGATGTTGGTTTCTTATTCCTCACTCTGGATCCAACCGGGCTTGTTTCTATACGTTTGCTAAAAGGCATTTACACCTTTCTCTTTCTTCTTTGGTCTGCAGCTCCAGGTTACGTCCGATTTTACTGTATGTGGTGCTCTTTATGTATGTTACATACTATTTCTTTGTTCTCTTCGTTACCCCTATGACCAGTTTCTTCCAGTTCCAGGTCTGCAATTCTTTAACTGACCATTGGTGAGATGTTCATAGCTGTAGGGTCTCCAGCGCCCAGCCTGTACCCCAACTCTTATTGTCCCACGCTAGTACTGCTGTGTGCTGCATGCTGTATCTCCCTTGCCAGGCTGATATATCTGTATACTCTTTATGTCATTGTGTTAGAGTCATAAATATCTCATTTTACATAGAATAATTGCTTGTTACTGCTCTCTGTGTAGAAGTATGGTTGGATCACACAAAGATAAAAGTAAAATAGATTAGCCATAGACACGTGGACAATTAGAGAAATTGCTGTCACAGTTAAACCAAGTAAAAGAAAGCGCTGCATGCAGGTCAAGAAAATTTCAGACAAAGCAGCCTGACAAACTTCAGTCCTGGGGCCTTGTAGATTCAATACAAAGCTTATGGCCTCTTACTAGCAGTGACAATACTGTGCTACAGGGCTACATGGTTACAGGGACTTGTGCTCTTGTCTTCCGAGTGTTAGCTGGTTGTGTTAGTTATTGGACTGTTAGCTATTTGAAATAGCTGGTTCACTCTTATTTTCCTTATCTCCTTTGTTCCTTGAGTGGCTAAAAATCCTGTCCTTCTTAAAACTAGTAGAACATTTTTGCATACATTTTGTAGTTGTTGAAATGATGTTTCTCGTTAAAAGGTGTACTGTGAGAAAATTCCCAGCTGGCTTTTGTGGTAGCAAGTAGTTATCCATTTTCTTGCATTCTAAATATCATGAAAAATCTAAGGTAAACTTTTTGCGTGTGAATTGCAATAAATGTGCCTATCTCTATATCTCTGTCTCTCCCTCTGTTTTAGGTGTGGTTAAGCTGTCTTGTATATAGGCAGCAGTAGCGCCCATTTACAATAGGGGAGGAAGGGAAGGGGAACACGCCATGACACATCTGAATAATTGCTTATTTTGATGCTTTTTTTATTACATGGGATTCTTTCTTATATTTAGTGGCACAGGCCAAGAAGAAAAATATTTACATGAATGATTATTTTGTTGTTAAAGACAGAACAATCTGATTGTTTCAGTTGTTACTGGGGAAAACTTTCAGAAGGTATCAGATCTTTTGAAAGTGGCAACAATGCTTTCAAAATAATTTAAGAACACCTATATTCCTTTCCAATTTAGCCCACTTGGTGAGGTTTTAGGATTAGGTACATCTCATAAAGGAAATAATTTAACTTGTAAAGTAAAATAATTTAGCTATCTCTAACATTTGATCTTCTTCATTTTTAAAGAGACCTTAGGACTATGATCTGGTGGGTTGATACCATGCCCCTTACAGGGCATAGGAGAACATGCATTTCTAGATTCTTACCATCAGCTAAAGTTAACACAGTTATCTATAAAATAGTTGTTTCTGACTAACTTCATATCACTTGTTTCAGACAGTAAATTTTGTTTTTGCATATAAAGTTACAAGTCTCTCTATAATATGAAAGCAATATTCTCTTGACTTTTGTCAAATCGTAGTTATTAGTCATTCATATAGCATACCACCTATACCTAAATCTGATTCCAGAATTGCTATTGCCACCCTGACTGCTGAACAGAATTTAAAGCATTCTGTTGCTGTGACCGATTCAAACTAATAATGGCCTCAAGACAGCATCCTAGAAAATTGAATCCTGAGATGTACACTGGGAGCAAACAAAATATTATCTTTCTGATGTATTTTGCTAGTATTACTCCAAGGCAAAAAGGATTTTAATAGGTTGAAAGTGTTACCAAACAAGGAAGAACATATGAACCGTTATTCTATGTCCAACACTTTATTCATTGAGCTTTCTTTTAAATAAGATCAAGTGATATTTCATCCCTATCCTTTTTACGGCCAACCCACAGGATATATTTAAAAGTTTAGCATGAATGAGTGCTGGAATAGTTGATAATTTTCCTTACAATTTCTTTTAATATTTTATCCTTATACAACTTAAGTGTTTGTCAGATTTTGGTACACAATGCAAATTATATAATTTTACATTATATTTTATATAGTTTGCATATATATATGGAGTTGTATCTTTAAGATTAGGGAAAATGAGTTTTCCAAATACAGGCTTCATAATTTCACTGACTGAGAAAAATGGGCTGACTTGAAGAACGTACCCAGAAACGGTCTTGGAAATTGGCGTGTGCAAACCCAAAGAAAGTGGGCAGTAGAAGAAAGTATTCCAGTTTCATCTCTCCACTCATGTAATACCTTATCATGCTTTCCCCATACTGTTTTAGGTCTTGTCTTCCTCTTAAAAATGTCCAGAGTGGTGCGGCTTTCACTGTGAGCAAAGTGAGTCTCGGGGACTCTGTTGGGCCTGGGTGGATGTGGAGCTTATTGGGCTAGCTAGAAGACAGATGCAGTAGAATAGACAGGATATTCCTCTGTGTATGAGGAAACTTTCCAAAAGAATGAGATGCAGAGGTGTAGTGTGAACAGAGAGGTGTGAGAGGAAGCTGTTGAGTTTCCAACAAATTTTTTTTCTTTCTGTTTCACTGTGTTGGGATTACAGGGAAAAATCAACCTTGGCCATCAGTGGCTGGATCAGTCAAACTGCTGTTTCCAGTTGTACCAGCTGCTATTTTGCTCTCACATCCTGATACAGATGTGCTATTATTAATGGCCCTGCTATTACAGGCCAAGCCAAGAAAATCTGCTACCTCATGTACTTGTAATTGACAGGAAGCATAAGCTTCCTTCCTCTCATTGACCAAGGCAGCCTTCTCATCAGATTGGTCAAGCATGATTTCCCCTTCATAAATCCATGCTGACTACTCCTGGTTACCTTCCTGTCCTTTACATATCTTCATAGTATCCAGGATGAGTTGTTCTACCACCTTCCCAGGGATCAAGGTGAGCGTGACCGACCTGTAGTTTTCCAGATCCTGCTTCTTGTCCTTCTTGAAGATAGGGGTGACATTTGTTTTTTTCCAGACCTCAGAAACCTCTCCAGTCACCAGGACCTTTCAAAGATAATCAGCAGTAAGTCTTCAGTGGTCTAGATCATGTTTCAGAATAGGTGATGCTTTTTATTCATGTGGGAGCAGCTGAAAATTACTCAGATGGCCACTTGGTATATTTCTGAAGAGAGGCTTGGTATGTGTAAAAGCGATACATATGGCTTTTTAATAAGGATTTTCATATGTGTATACCTTATGTACATATCTAAATGTAGACTTCTAAGCTTTTTTAGACACTAAAATAACTACTTAATCTTTTTTCCAGAGTGGCTGACTGCCCCCTTCTCCCATTAACTTCCAATTTATTGAAAACTTTGTCACTTCACTTAAAGAAAACCTACCTAGGTTCACAGATCACATCATTCACAGATCACATTGTTTCCTATATATTTTCTCTTCAAGTTGTACATTTAAGCCTTTCCAGATGTAATTCTGGAAGTACCTAGTAAAGACTGAACATACAGCTTTCTGTTTCTGAAGTTAAATGTAATACTTTTTATTATCTACTTTTTATTATCTGTTGCCATAGTTTTCAGTAGTCACTGTTAGTTTAAGTTGGTTACCTAGCTAACATCTCATCACCACTGATTCTAAGCCTTTCTATTTCTCGGTTACTTGCATCCTGCTAGAAGGTATTATTTGGCTTAGTAGGTCTATTTTCATTATTATTTTGTAGATCTTTTGGTGAGGGAAGTCTTCTGCATGATTTTGAGTCTATTACGTAGTTTGCTTAAATACATAGTTCAACTAATATTTAGATGCTCAGACAAGAGGAGAATTTTATTTGCCACAAGAAGGGGTTCAGGAATCTCCTCCTTCCTTGTGTCTTTTCATAAAGATTTTCTCTACTCTCGTCTGTCTGTCAAAACGTGACTCATAGTTACTGTGATTGTTTTGGATTTGAAACAACCGGAGCCATATTTTCTTCTTCTGTTTCAGCTAGATAGATCAGTATTTGTTTATAACGTAGTCTATAATGAGTGTCAATCCACCACATTTTGCTATGCTAATAAATGAGAACAGCCAACATTTTTAAATATCATGTAGTGACTCAGTGGCAGTAGTGCCACCTGATTTTTGTATTCAGTTATAAACCTATGTTCATAAAATACATGAGGCATTGCTTTGTAAGCAGTTACAAACTGTTCCCTAAGCAGTAATAGTAGCAGTACTGAAGACCTGACTTTATACAGGTGATTGGAAATGTTGCCTATGGAAATAAAGAACAGAGCTGATGATGTTGTAAGAGTGAAATAACTCTCTTTCCACAACAAAATCAATCTAATAGCCTTTGACTTTCTTAC